ATAAAAAAAAAAAAGAAGCTTTTTCTGTAAAAAAAAGGTTGACTTGACATGATGAATTTTACCGGCGCCAATTACACTATTATAAGATTAAGCAGGAACATATATATTGACTATATAGATATACTGTTCCCAGGATTAACTTTGTTCTCCCAATTCTGAATGCCATCTGATTATGCAAGGTATAATTCAATTAAATGGTTTATTCCTCCTAAAATCTTGTATGTCATTTGTAAGAAATCCATGTAGGAATAGAAGGAATAGTTGAATAAACAAGGGATTCATCAGATTAGATTGTCAAAACATAATGCTAATTAACTTCAGGTAAATATCCATAAAACCTAACGAGTTAATTTTCATCAATGTTCAGTTTGAAAATATTAATAGTAGAAAATATAAAAAAAGTTCTAACAAAAGGCTTTGGCACAGCTACGAATTAGCCTGGGGTCCTGGCTAATCTTGTCAGTATAATTTCTGTTTATCATCAAAAGACATAAAATCACTATTAAAATGTGTTGCTTCATCAAATAATTTTTTTCTAAAATCGTCATATAAAGGACACGATAAAATAACATGGGCTTCATCTCCTAAAATATCCTTACATTAACTATCACAGACTCGCTCCTCTAAAAGTAATTTTTCAAATCTCCCTGTTTCGATTCTTAGTGGTGCTACAAAATATCGAAATTTGACAAAAGAACTCCTTTGTGAAAATGACATTGGAATTGTACAATAAGTTTCCGTTTCAAAACTGTTCTTAAATAAATTATATGTTCGAAGTTTGTTACCAGCTTTACCAATCTAATTAAAATATAGATCTCTGATTTCGTTATACTACATATGAGCTTGTTTTCGTTGCCATTGTTTTTGAAAGATTGGAATAGAAGGGATATTTATTTTCAAAATGTAGGAATAGCAGGAAGACACCCAATTAAATGTATTTGATGTCTCAGGTGTGAAAACTTAAATGATCGACATGTTAATTGGCTTGATGAATTGGTGATTACGACGAGTGTCAAAATTAGATAATCTAATTAAATTTTGGTACTTTTAATGTGCCGGTGAACTCGCTCAGATCATCATTTTGGACTCAAAATATAGAATCTATATAGTTATGCTACATATGCCAGTTTTTAATTATTTAGATGCAGTTCAACTATTTCTAAATGCATGCAAAATTTCGTAAAAATCTGAAATATTGTCCAATGACTTTTATTTCATCTCGAGTAACGTATGTGTATACAATGTTTCATCTGACTTGCCGACAGTATTTGGGTTTGAACTGCATCAAGTGTATCAAGAATCTATTCAGTGTTTCAAAAGCCAAGCTAATGTACTAGTTTGTGATGTCCATCTGAGTTGCCGCTAGTGTTGTCAGAGAACGTTTTCCATGGACAATGCTGGAGAAAACTACCAACATGCCTTTACACAATTTAAGGCTCTGCATAAATTCTATACATAAATTGGAGAAGATACACACACATCAAAAGAAAAGTCCCAAATCATCAAATTTGAAATTTTTGACTATTATAAAGACACACTTATAATGTTTTATTAGTCAACTCAAATAACTGTCCAACAACAACTTTAAATATCTTTTTGAAAGTATTTGGTAGCCCTTAAAGGACTGCTTTATATATTATTCAATATTTAAGGTAGCACTACAGTCAGAATTTTCTGACTCCAACCAACAGTCTTTAAAGATTAATTTCTCCAAAACTACTCAATGGATTTTTAAAATCTTTAACTCATTTTAAAGCTGAAATATAACTCTTTCATAATCTATAGATAAATTTATTTTTGGCATGATTAATCTCAAAATATAGCTCATTAATTGCAAAAAAAGTGGTCTTCCAACTTGGATGAAAATGGCACATTCAGGTCAAATGGTAGTAAAAATTTGTTTTCATCCCTTTAATCAACCATTCACAATCTACAAAACCGTGTCTCAGATGCCTCCAGTAATAAGATATATTATTTTTACTGCTGGATGCCAAACCTCATTTCACCTTTCATCTTTGGAGACCTATAAATTCATTTAGAAACAAATTATCCAAAAACTGGGACACAGTATTGTAGAAAATACTCCCTTCAATCACATACCGTAGAAAGGCTTGTATAGTTCGCACTGGTACATAGTCCGCACCCCCTTCTCCCCACGATATTTTAGGTAAAAAAACTTTTTGTAACTGTTAGAAAAGGTCTAATGAAACTCCGGTAATTTCAAATCCTGTGCGGTCTTTTGCGGTACTTTCTTGGAAAAACCTGTTTTCCATCATCAAACAGAAGCTGAAACTGCTTGTAAATGATTCTAGAACGCTTCATGATTGTTAAAATAAGTTTAATTCACTTAAAAAACAATTTAGAAACTTGTGTATGTTTAAACAGGAAGTTTAAAAAGCATGTGTAAAAGAAGAAACTAACCGGTGAGAGTCGAAATCCGTACATAACAGATATCACTATAATACAACTTTGAAAGTAAAACAGTTCCATCCTTTTGTAAAACAGTCTTTAATATATCTATCACATTAATGTTTGAAGGGTCTTAAGCTAATACAAACCATATTAGTCAGTATGAAACACCAAAACGGAACGAACAATAACCGATTACGTTTTGTAGTTTACAAATTCTAAGCTGGTTTACGGTTGTCTTTTTCACTATGTTTGTATCGTTTCAATCAAGCAAATACCAGTTTATTTCAACCACTGCATTGTTGAAAAGAAACGAGAAATTTGTAATGAAAGGTTTAGTTTTTATATTTATCAGTATTAATTTGATATTGAATAGAAATAACTTATTAATATGGATGAGTTAAAATTATTAGTTTGAAAAATGATAAGAGCGCCCTCTACAATATAAATAACAAAGATGGCGGAACGTAAACAAACCACCTCGCCCGCGAAATTGAAATTTTTCTCTTATTTCTTGCTTATTGTACTCTATAGTCCGCACCCCGTCTGGAATGTCCAATTTTGGAGAATAAAACCGCGGACTATACAAGCCTTTCTACGGTATATCAAAGTCAAGCCAAAGGGGGTACCCATAAAGTTTCTATTTTCATTTTTTCCTTACAATTCTCATGAAAAATTGTTCTGAGAAATGACCTTAAAACTGAATTTCCTCTTCAGAACCCCTATAAATGCCACATAAATACAAAAATTCCACTGGGAACACCCCAGGAGTGTTCTGACACCATTACTTTATCAATAGAACCACACACATTGTGTCTTTGATGCTCTAATGCTGTAAAATTTGCATTTTGTGTGCACTGTATAACACTAACTTGGCATTTGGCGGGAGTTTGATGTCACAGATTTGACCAACATCTGTGATGTAGTAATTAAATAAAGACAAAGCTCCGCCTCTGTCCAGACAGTCTAAGATAAGAGAATAACAGGATTTGCCAGCTGCATCATAATTAATATTTAACATCATTATTCTCACTATAAAGAATAATTTTCATTTGAATTTTAAAAAGAAATATAATATGACCATGATGACTGAAATTAGCTAAAATATTAATGTTAAAATTAAAATTCATGTCCATAAAAAGATCAAGACCATCCCCTTCTTGAAAATAGACTGTCCAACATGATTTATGAGTTTTATGGAATTAAAAAATTTCACATAAACTTAAAATTAGTTAAAATGCCTAAAATCATTTTTAAAATTTAGAAGACCAAAGACGAGAAATTTATACAGGCAGTCAGAGGCTTTCAAAGATACTTTCACACTCTTTTCCATAGTTTTTTTTCATTTTGGTAGATTTTTTCCCTTTAAATTTTTTCCTATTCATATCTTTTTCTTTTTCTCTGTTCTAAACTTCCATGTTTTATAAATTAGTTTTGTTGCAATGCAATGAGATATTTATCTTGTGGTCAGGGATTAACAGCTGGACACTGGTATCAACAGATGATTGACATATTAGCCCCTCCCAAATGCCTATATGTTTAGATTAATTACATGTGCTTTTATTTTTTTATTTTTTTTTTTCAAATGAAGCCGACCGTGCAAGGGCTGTATAGCCAGTCAAGGTCGTTAAAAACTTCCATTTGTTGTTGCTTTTATTTAAATAAGTTCATTATCAATTTACTCCCTGTTGTGATATGATAAATATAATGACTTTGGGATTTTTACAAACTGTGCAGAATAATACTTACTTCAAAATTATGTGATAAAAAAAATATCTTCAAAAAATCATTGTTAGACTGTAGTGCTACCTTAATAATATACATGTACTTATTCATATTGTAACAACTCTTAACATAAAATTAAACAAAAATGACAACTACAACGATAAAAACTGGTATATACAAAATAGATTTAAGATATAATTACGTTATGCATCTCAGTAAACATTCTAAAAAATGGAAGAAAAAAAAATAACAAGAAAAAATTTAAATGTATTTAAAAAAAAAGTAAAATGTCACAAATATACCCCAGAATTACAATTGTTGTGACTTTAAATATTTTTGTATATTATGGTTTTAATACCGATAGGTGTTTTTGGTATAGACCCAATAATAGGCCAATTCAGTTGGGGGCGTAGCGATAGTGAGTCGACCCTAAATAGAAAAATTAAATTTATTTGAATAATAAATGTCAAATTATAAAAAGAATTAACAATAACAATAATATGATGTCTGAAGTATTTATATTTCGAAGTTCTGTGGTATTCTGTGGTGTTCTGTGGTATTCTGTGGTGTTCTGTGGTAAAAAGACGCTCCCCCCACCCGTTTGCCTGCCATTTGTTTGTTTATGTTTGTTTGTGACCATATGTCTGTTCTATTAAGTTTAAAGTTATGTTATCGCATTTATATGATATCTTTTTACCGCTATCAGATATTTGCAGCAAGGTTAGCAGTTCATTTTGTTCACTCATTATTCACTCAAATTTCATAAAACTGGTTTTCCGACTTTTTTCCTCGCCATGTTTGGTTCGATGTTTTTTTTATCAAGCTAGATCTGATGGATGTTTGATTTTAACTGTTATGACCCCACAGAAGTGGTCAACGATTTGACATGGAACAGTTCAGAAAAGGGAACTAATTATGCCCTGCAGCCGATTATTAAATCATGAAAAACAAAAAGAAGAAACTTTGCTACACAATTTTAGGGTTGTATTTTTTCATGGGTGGTGTCGAATATGGTAATTTTAAGTTTCATGTGGACTATGTGGCTAAAATGGCTGCGTTTACACCTCAACATATACTCTTTGAGTACAGACAAACCTGTGCATCTGCCCTTGAAGAAATTATATATAACAACTCGCCCAATTGCCAACTTGACCCAACTTTCTACCAACTCGCCCCACTTTCCACCAACTCTCCCCACTCCTGTTAACCAACTCGCCCACTATAACAATAGTTTAAATTTAGGCCTACCAATGAAATGTAGTTTAATCCCAATGATTTAGGTCTGCCAACAAGCTTTCAAGACACAACAGCCATACCTCCACGTCGTCCATAGGATGTGTCGGCCATACCCCCACATCGTCCATACCTTGTAAAGACACATTGTCCAGACTCTTTAAGTATTGTTTTCCAGTGGGGTTATAACATAAAATATTATAAAACAACAAGTATTATTTCATAGTTATAACATAAATATGATTTTTTTTGTAGTATTTAATTATTATGTACAAGTTTGTTAGTTTGAAAGAGTCAGTATAGAGTAGACTATATATTTATTTTTACTTTATGTACTTCTGTACATCTGCTGTTCAAAAAGACAAGTAGACGCATAGAAGACTGGTGGGGTAAACATGGTAAAGATTGCATGAAATGCAATCAAAACCCTATGGTACCATCTTTGCTAGCCAAGGGTTACGATCCACTTCCCTCCTCTCCGCCCTTGGCAGATTAAGCCAACATTTGCGATAACAATGTTGCGCCATCTATCAGTAGATTAAATTCACGCCCATTCCGAATACATTATTCTTGACCAATGGTAGCACTTGAACTCTTCAATTTGGAGGTAAAAACACTGTAGCGTCTAGATTCTACACTCTTGGTAAAGCAGGAAACGAAAATATACGTTGACATTCATGCATTTGTACAAGAAACATGCACAGGAACTTCTATTAATTGATTAAAAACATTCAAATTGTCACTTAATATAGTCGTATGTTTAGGGATGTAAAGACTTGTTGCACAATAAGCATGTGCCAATTGTTTACCAGGGGTTCAAATTAGCGGTGGTCCGACGTCCATGACCTTCCACTGTTGCAATTGGACTTTCGTTTTGGTTACTAGCTACGCCCGACGGACCTTCGATCTTAAAGGAAATAAAAATGATTTTTGCTGACCTTTTTAACCATCTGTATCGTCATTTTTAAGCCATATTATTATTGAAATTGAAATAAAAAAATGCTTCATCCCTGACCTTGCCGACGAGTGAGTTATTTTTAACCTTGTATTTCTTGGAAACACAAGGTTATAAATAGTTGCGAGAAGTCATGTGACAAATCATTTAATCATTTAGACATTTTCGAACAAAATGAGGACGTTTCACTTTGGTGTCAGGTCTTCCAAGAGAAAGCCTGAAGATTATGAAGATTATGAACGGTCTTCAACCACAGGCACTTGTTTCTATCCATGGGAAGGTCGACTATCCATAAATATAGAAGGATATTCAACCTTTCCATGGATAGAAACAAAACTTGAAGTGCCTGTGTCTTCAACGTCTTCAAAAGAAATCAAATGAAGATCTCACTAAAGACCAAAAATGCGATCGTGAAAAACGGGAACAGACATTTAAGCCCCACAGGAAAATCGATCGACCGTGGCTATATTTTGATGAATCAACTGGTCTAATGTCATGCACATACTGCAAGAAGTTACCCTGCCATTCAGAAAAAGAAAGTGCACTTGTAAGGGGAACACAAAATCTTAAGGTTCATCTATACACTTTAACAAAAATGGCTGTGTTTACACCATGAAATTTTCTCTGAGTACAGACAAAACTGTGTAATTTAAAAAGTTTTAATGCCTGGCAGCACCTAGATAAATTAATGTTACATCCAATTTATGTTCTAAAAAGTTAAAACACTTTACGGATTTTGATGAACATTTTCTTTCCTTGCCACAGAAGGTGGTGAAATAAACAAACACCTGAGTTTTCTTTGATACAGTCCACTCATTTACACTATTTAAATCACCTTTGTTGTGAGTAGATTTCTATTGTCCCTCTATTGTCCATATCAATCAATATGATACAATACAATCATTACCTGAGGGGGACAATCTTAAAGATTTCACATGACTTTGTTTATTTTTACACCACCTGTGGCAAGGAAAGAAAATGTTTAGCAAAATGCACAAAAGTATTTTTGTTTTTAAAACACAAAATGAATACAACTTGTATATATCTAGGTGCTGCCAGGATTTAAAACTATTAGAATTACACAGTTTTGTCTGCATTCAGAGAAAATTTCATGGTGTAAACACAGCCATTTTTGTTGAAGTGTATAGATGAACCTTAAAATAGACCCAATAAAAATATACTAAGTGACACCCCAGCATTTATCTTGTTTAGAGCAGTGGATCCATGAAAGTGACAAAGTGACCCAAATTTTAAGTTTAATTATGACTAAGGGGACGACCATTTGATATTTTGGAAGGGGGGGGGGGGGGGGGCAGGAGGATTTTGAAAATAAATAACTCAGCCTTGATAATAACAAAAATGAATGGTTTGTTCTGTGGTAGTTTGAAAATAAATGACCTGACCTACAATGTATTGAAAATAAAAACTCGGCAGGTCTTTTAAGCCATTTTATAAATGCTATTCTAAAGTATGAAATGGCACCAGATTCTTCCAAAATTCATCTTTTTTCATATTTTTTTCGGGAAAAACTTCCCAAATCTTTTATAATACAATGTATAAATATTAATGTACTTGAAATGTCTGAAAATGGGTTTCAATTAACTAGAGGTATATTAACTCAGGAACATTTACCTCACTTTCATAAGAGGGCTGTAACTAAATTGAGGCAAATGCCTCAGGTAGGAAATTTCAAAAACAAAAGCTTGTCTTCATATTAAATTGTTTTTACTTCGAATGCCTTGCAAGAAACAAGTTCTGTTCACCCTCTGACATAGCCCCTGTTTTTCAAGATCCGTGTTTCTCATTTAATTTTAGTTTTCAGTGTTATTTGTCTATAATGTTTGTTGTTTGTTGTTTTATCTTTTCCAGGGTTTGTCTTTTGTTCATTGATTGCCCTTCTTTATTTTCTTAGTGTTGCATTCCATTTGTAATTTAGTAATTTTTTTTAAACTTGAGTTTATATTATTTTATTTAAGGACTTTTTATCTAATTTTACAAACTACATGAATTTCAAATTGTATCTCAGTTAGGAACTACATCAAGTTGTAATTGAAATATGTTATAGAAACTTACAATGTACTTGACATAGCTATATCAATGATAATCAGCCCTTTGAACTTAATTTGAGAAAAAAAAAAACATAATTGACAGGTATATTAAAAAGATTTTCTGCAAGCCAAAACACTATAAAAAAAAAAGCAGCCACATTCTTAAGTTTGTGAATTACACTTTTTGCTTTATCCTACATATTGGTCTTTTGATGTTGTCCCTAAAAACTAAAAGTCTGACACTGCATCTATATATTTTGCTTTGAGACCAAAATATTGTCGAAAAAATAATTAACCCCAGAACTTGCATTTCAGATTAAGAAAGGATCTGGGAAACGCACAGAATGCATGATTTTGCATCATTTTTCTATATCTTCTTGGGGCCTTCAGCGTCCCCCAAAACCTAAGACGAATTTTTTTGACTCGCTCCCCTCGGCAAATATGTTTGACATTACTTTTAAAAGAGGCTTAGTTACAGCCCAACTTTAATACCTTGTACGTATGCAATAAATGCAGTTGGGAATTCAGAAGATTCACTTCCACAGGATGATGATTAATTCTGATTAAATGGTACATAATGATTTGACTATACATTTATTATCTATTTAGGAATAAAAAAAAAAATTAAAAATTGTGTGTTTTCAAATATTATAAATATAATTGTGAAAATAAATAATCAGTCCCTTGTTTTAATGAAAATGAAAAATCATGCTTCAACAGTGCAGAAAATAGATAATCTCTTCTTCTAGTTCACAAAAATAAATAACCAATCCAAAACAAATCCTCCTGGCCCCTACCAGAATATCAAATGGTCGTCCCCTAAGGATTACCGTAGAAAGGCTTGTATAGTTCGCACTGGTACATAGTCCGCACCCCCTTCTCCCCACGATATTTTAGGTAAAAAAACTTTTTGTAACTGTTAGAAAAGGTCTAATGAAACTCCGGTAATTTCAAATCCTGTGCGGTCTTTTGCGGTACTTTCTTGGAAAAACCTGTTTTCCATCATCAAACAGAAGCTGAAACTGCTTGTAAATGATTCTAGAACGCTTCATGATTGTTAAAATAAGTTTAATTCACTTAAAAAACAATTTAGAAACTTGTGTATGTTTAAACAGGAAGTTTAAAAAGCATGTGTAAAAGAAGAAACTAACCGGTGAGAGTCAAAATCCGTACATAACAGATATCACTATAATACAACTTTGAAAGTAAAACAGTTCCATCCTTTTGTAAAACAGTCTTTAATATATCTATCACATTAATGTTTGAAGGGTCTTAAGCTAATACAAACCATATTAGTCAGTATGAAACACCAAAACGGAACGAACAATAACCGATTACGTTTTGTAGTTTACAAATTCTAAGCTGGTTTACGGTTGTCTTTTTCACTATGTTTGTATCGTTTCAATCAAGCAAATACCAGTTTATTTCAACCACTGCATTGTTGAAAAGAAACGAGAAATTTGTAATGAAAGGTTTAGTTTTTATATTTAATATGAGGAAGGCGCTACCTTGAATGCCAGCTTACCAAAACTATGTCCTACATATTGATTGATTGTTGGTTTGCTTAACGCCCAGTGGCAAATATTTCATGCATGTTCAGGACGAATGTCCTACATATAGTTTTTGTCCAAAATAAAATAATAAGTTAAGATGGAAAATGTTTAGGGAAAGATCATTGAACTTCAAAAGGCAGAAGGAGGTATGGTATTTTTTTTTTGGTGTGTCGCAGGAAGCATCAAAGCAAAAATTTAAAATAGCCTTCCTGGACGTCATAATT